GCCTCGGAGCCTCCTGGAGTTCTCCTGGGCCTGCTGAGGCCGACTGGGGCCTCCTGGGGCCTCCTGGGGCTTCAGAACTACATGCACACACAGAGACACAAATCACGCCCAACACATCACACGCTAGACAAACATAACATACACACAACACTCACAATCCTGGGGCCTCCTGGAGCCTCTTCTGGTATCCAAGTCGGGCCTCCTGAGGCTTCCTGGGGGGCTGGTACACACATCGCAAGGTGTGGCAACCCCACTTGCGCTCGAGTGCGACTTCGCTGTTGCATGTCACTCCTGCTTCAAACGCCCCTTCAGCTTTTTGTATGAGCCTGCGGGCACACACGTGCCACTTGTCTTATATATATATTATATAATAATATATATATAATATATATTATTATATATATATATATATTATATAAACAAAAAAAATGGCTTGGAGGCGCAGTTGTGGGCGCTCGTGGGGCCCTCCTCGGGGTTTATTGGGTTTTCTTGGGGCAATGTCGGGCCGTCTTGAGGCCGTCTTGGCCCGTTCAGGGGCCATTTTGGGCCGTCTGGACGCCCTCGTGGGGCCCCAAGAGGGCCACGGGGCCCAAATCATAGATTTTCCATAGGTTTTGGTTGGATTCTGTAGGTTTTTGATGCGCAGAAGGGGAGGGGCCGCTTTGGGTCGGCGGAAGTGGCGTGGCCCTTGGGGGGGGGGGACATAATAATGTACCACAATACAATATGTAGCCATTATGCAATCATTGGATAAGTTGGATACGTTGCATTATAGCCTCCGCGGACGCGCCTCCGGCCACACGTCACTTCCGGACGTGGATTCCTCTCGCTTCGCGGGGTGCACGTCCGGAGCACGTACAGTCCAGCCGTTGTGGGGCTTTTTGGAAGCCTCCTGGGGGGTTCTTGGAAGCTTCTTGGAGGCTTGCTGTGGCGTTTTGGGGGTCTCCTGGGGGCCTCTTGGCGGCCTCTTGGGGGCGTCTTGGGCCGTCTTGGGCCGTCTTGGGGCGCTTTTGCGCCGTTTGGCCCCTTCGGGGGCCGTCTTGGGAGCCTCTCGCGGCCGCCTTCGGGCCCTCTTGGAATCCTCATGGGCCGTCTTGGGGGCCTCTTGGACCGTCTTGGGGGCCTCTTTGGGCTGACTTGGGGCTCCCTGGGGTTGTCTTGGGGCCACCGTGGGTGCTTCTTGGGTTGTCTTGGGACCATTTTGGAGGCTGCTTGGGCCGTCATGGGCTTCTGAAGAGCCGACAACACCGAGAACGCTGAAATCTTTGAAAAACTAACAACAACTCATGTTTTTGGCATCTGGAGGCCCTCTGGTGGGCTTTCTTCGGGCTCTCTTGGGCCATCTTGGGGGCGTTTTGGGCCCTCTTGGGGCCATCTTGGGCCGTCTTGCGGCCGTCTTGTCCCGTCTTGAGACCATCTTGAGCCGTCTTCACGCCGTCTTGGACCCTCAAGAGGCCCAAGGAGCCGAAATCATCGATTTTCCACTGAGCACGGCGTTCGCGGACGCGCTGTTCGTGCACCCGTACAACGCCCCGAAGAGCAGGATTCTGACGCTGCGAGCGGCGAATGCGGCAGCCAATGCTGGGAAGCAGCTCCTCTGGGTGGTGGCGCGCGATGTCCCCCTCACTCGGGACGACGCATGCAGGTCGACGGAGTCGCTCGCCCACGCCAGGCAGAATTGGCTCATGTACCCCGAGAACAAGACTGGCGGAGTTCCGGGTGCGCTGCCGATCTTCGAGGGGATGCGGGCGCGGTTCACCGCCACGGAGAACGCAGAGGCGGGAGCCTGCAAGCACTCCTGGGGTACCGTGACGGGCTGGGTCCTCCACCCCGACGACTCGAAGTTGGTGAAAGACCACAGGTCCGAGCCGGAGCTGGTCCTGCAGCACGTGCCCGAGGCGATCATGGTGCAAATTCCCGGGAATACGGCGCCCCGCTTTGGGAATCAGCCCGCGGGTGTCTTCCCCGTGAAGCAGAAGGAGGTGTCCTGGGATCGTAGTCCTGGCTTCAAGGCCATGGTGAAGCGCGCGGGGTTCCCGCTGGTCCCGCACTTCGCCGCCACGGCCCACTGCGTCACCAGCGCCACGCTGCCGCAGGCCATCATCGACCTCCTGGACGCGCGCACGACGCCCCGTTCGTCCATGGCCCCCACGGGCTACGTGGCCATCAGCCGCACCAGGAGGGCTGACGACCTGATTATCACGCAGCCCTTTTCGCCGATGCTTTTCCGGCAGGGGCACCAGACTGGCCCGCGGCTCCTGCGCTCCATGACAGCCGGGGAGTTGACGACGGAGCAGGCGAACGCCGGCTGGGCCAAGGCAGAGAAGGAAGCGGCTTCCAAGTCGTCCAAGAAGGTGGTGGACGCCACGTTCCAGTGCGGCGACTGCCACCAGCGGAAGAGAGCGGGGAATTTCCCAGGCAGTGGCATGAGAACGAGCGACCCCGTGGACCACGCCGTGGCGGTGCTGAGCCAGGGCGCCTGGAGGAGGTGCGCCCTCTGCGTGCAGAAGCAGGCCGGAAAGGCTGGAATCGGCGTGCAACCCGCCCGTTCCGCCCCCTTCTCCTCAAGAGGGGCGGACGTCCTCGAGCGCTGCAAGTGCGGGAAGCAAAAGGCATTGGTCCACTTCAGACTCGGAGAGGTGAACGACCTGAAGGCGCGTGGGGACCTCGACCGCGCCGTCTGCATCGGCTGCGCTCCAAATCGGCTGCACTTCAACATGCAGTCGGAAGTCCGCCTGTTCAAGTGCGCGCAGTGCGCGGTCCAGAAGCCGACGGAGGAGTTCGACGAGACATTCTTCAAGCAGCACCGCGGGGCGAAGGACCTGATCTGCACTGACTGCATGGACAGGAAGATGAGACCCCTGTGCCGGGGAAAAGAAGGGCTTTGCGGGGCCAGGCCGCCACAGCGGTTGAAAAATGGGCACGACTATTATTGTGAGAGCTGTAAATACCCGCCGTGCTCGGCGCGCGGGGTGACGCCGCGGCCGAAGATGGAGAAGCACACTGCGAAGAGGCTGCCGCGGTGGACATGCGCGGCGTGCCGCAAGAAGAGCGACGCTGCTCAGTGCGGGGCGTGTTCTGCCGCCATTCCCTGGAGAATCATTTGGAGCTCCAATCGAGACAGCGGAGAAATCCTGTGCCGGAAGTGCCAGGGGAAGGCATGAGTTGTTCTCGCGGTGGAGCAGCCTGACCCCGCGTGACCAGGCGCCCCACCGCGGTGCGCCCAGCCAGCCGCCTGCGTAGCCTCGCGGAGCCTTATCGCTAGAGCCCCGCTGCGTGCGAATCATTCCCGCTGCCCGAGCCCTGTCGCGTTGCGCAAAGTCGCCACCAGCAGCGGAGCGCTGAGCCTGCCCGACGGCACACAGGGCAAACATGTTTGTCCCATTCAGGCGCAGAGACTGCGAGGTCGCTGTTGCCGCGTGGATCTCCTGAAAAACAGATGTTGGCTTGAATGGCATGCCGTCTCCTGTAGTCCTCTGCGGTGGCGTTTCCTGTCGTCTTCTGCGGTGGTCTGCCGCGCCGTCCTGCAATCGTCGAGGCATCCATATGGAAACGTCCTGGAGTGGTGAGTTGGGAGCTCCTTGGGTCCCTTTCAGGGACTTCTGCCGGCTTTTGGAAGGCTTCTCGGGCGCATTTGAGAACCCCTGAAAGCCTCTTGGGTTTTTTTTGGGGGGCGTCTTGGGCCGTTTGGGGGCGCTATTTCGGAATCTTTTGGGGGGGTCATGGACGCTTCTTCGGGGCTTCCCGGGTCTTTCGGGGGGCCTCTTGGGGGCGTCTTGGGCCGTCTGCGGACGCTTGGAGCCGTTTGGTCCCTTCGGGGGACTTCTTGGGGGCCGCTCGCGGCCGCCTTGGGGCCCTCTTGGGGTCGTCTTGGGCCATCTTGGGGTGCTCTTGGGTCGTCTTGGAGGCCTCTTGGATCGTCTTGGGGGCCTCCTTGGGCCGTCTTGGGGCCCCCTTGGGTGCTGCTTGGGCTGTCTTGGGGCCATTTTGGAGGCTGCTGGGGCCGTCATGGGCCTCTGAGAGCCGGGAAAGGCGAGAACGCGAAATTCTTTGAAAAACTTAAGGAAAATCAGTGTTTTTGGCCTCTGGCGGCGTTCTGGTGGGCGCTCTGAGGGCCCTCTTGGGCAATCTTGGGGGCTTTGGGCCCTATTGGGGCCATCTTGGGCCGTCTTGGGGCCGTCTTGTCCCGTCTTGACACCATCTTGAACCGTCTTCACGCCCTCTTGGATCCCCAAAAGGCTCAAGGTGCCCAAATCATAGGTTTTCCATAGGTTTTTCTAGATTTTGATGCCCAGAAGGGGCCCTCCTCCTGAGGGTCGGAGCACATACAGTCCAGCCGTTGTGGGGCTTTTTGGAAGCCTCCTGGGGGGTTCTTGGAAGCTTCTTGGAGGCTTCCTGTGGCGTTTTGGGTGTCTCCTGGGGGCCTCTTGGCGGCCTCTTGGGGGCGTCTTGGGCCGTCTTGGGCCGTCTTGGGGCGTTTTTGCGCCGTTTGGTCCCTTCGGGGGCCTTCTTCGGAGCCTCTCGCGGCCGCCTTCGGGCCCTCTTGGAGTCCTCATGGGCCGTCTTGGGGGCCTCTTGGACCGTTTTGGGGGCCTCTTTGGGCTGACTTGGGGCTCCCTGGGGTTGTCTTGGGGCCACCTTGGGTGCTTCTTGGGTTGTCTTGGGACCATTTTGGAGGCTGCTTGGGCCGTCATGGGCTTCTGAAGAGCCGACAACACCGAGAACGCTGAAATCTTTGAAAAACTAACAACAAATCATGTTTTTGGCATCTGGAGGCCCTCTGGTGGGCTTTCTTCGGGCTCTCTTGGGCCATCTTGGGGGCGTTTTGGGCCCTCTTGGGGCCATCTTGGGCCGTCTTGCGGCCGTCTTGTCCCGTCTTGAGACCATCTTGAGCCGTCTTCACGCCGTCTTGGACCCTCAAAAGGCCCAAGGAAGCACATGCCGGCTTGAAGCACATGCGCCGTCCGCCGTCTTGAAGCACATGCGCCGTCTTGAAGCACATGCGCCTCCGCGCTCATGTGGTGCTGCAGCTCGGCTGGGAGCTCATCGACCGCGGCCACCCCGCTTTTTGTAGAGATGCTGCTGGCGATCCCATCGCAATCGCCGCCGCCAAGGAGGCGTTTGAAAGGCGCGTGAAGCAGTGCTGCCCGTGGCTCGGCACCCCCGAGGACGCCGACGGGAAGGTCCCGCCAGCCGTGGACCGGGCGACGGTGGTGGCGGATCCGTCCAGGAGCAGTGTGCAGGATAACAAGCACGCGACTCTGGCGCTGGCCAGCACTGACGTCGCCTCTGTTTTCGACGATGCCAGACCGACCGCCTGCGCGCCCACAGATGCGACGTCCCGGCAAGGGACCGCGGGTCCGCGCCAACAGCGAGCCATGGACGGCGGGCCGGTCGTCCCGTACGTCGCCGACGCGGCCATGTTGGAGCAGTGGAACGGGAAGTGCCCCGCGATCGCTTTCCCGCACACGCTGCCGTGGCAGAGCGGGGGGCCAGACTTCACGAGGTCTTGGCGCAACGGTGCCGATGCCGCACATCGACGCCGCGCGGTGGGGCGGCCCGAGGAAGTGCAAAACCGGCCGTCCGTCAGCATGGGGATGTGGCTTGCAGGCATGAGTCGCCGAGTCGAGCACCAGATCCGTTCGGATTGGCTTTTCATCCCGGGCATGCGCAACGTCCACTTCCGCTTCTTGGGCATCACCGCGAGGTTGGGGAGCAAAGTGCGGAAATACAAGGACGAAGACGGATCGGCCTTCACTGAGCGCCTGACCACAGCTGTCCGCGGGTTGCACAACCTGTTGGCGAAGGGGTAGTACGGGCCGAACAGGCGCCCAATTGCTGGGAACTTGACGGTGCTGCACATGGCGCACGGCCTGGACACGACCCAGAAACAGATCGTTCACAACATGCGTTCGGTCACGAGCACCCTTGCAGGCACCCAGGAACTGCGCCGCAGGATGGGCCACGTCTTCCAGTCCGGCGCGATTGGTTACGGGCACGGGCTCTTCATCACCATCTCGCCCAATGAGAAGCAGTCCTGCTTGGTCATGCGTCTGCACAGAGTACGCCAGGACGACCCGCTGCTGCGCGCGGGGAGCACAGACGACGAACGGAATGCCATGAGAAGGAAGTTGGCGTCACGAGAGTGGCCCTCATTGTCGGAGTGCGCCGACGCGGAGCTCCCCGATTTCGACTTGCGTCTGTGCGAGGTGGCCAATGATCCTCTCTCGGTCGTTCAGGGCTTCCGCGTCGCCGTGAACGTGATTTTGGGCCGCCTCCTGGGCCTCCGGCTGTGTGCGAATGCGGCGTCGCCAGCCGATGGCACCACCGGCCCAGGTGTCGCTGCACGGACAGATTCGGGTCCAACTCACGCCCCATGGGGGGAATTTTCGGAGTTGCCGCAGCCCTGCTTGGCGCCGTCGAGAACCAGCACCTGGGCACGCTCCACTTCCACGGGTTCGTGTACCTGGCAAACCTATACCAGCACGCATCCATGGCCGAGATCGCCAGGATGATCAGGGAATCCCCCCATTTGGCAGAGGCGGTGAAGGAATGGCATGCGTGGGTCCACCGAGAAGAGCACTGGGACCCCGAGGGGCATTCTGCGGGGCTCGCCGCGTTGGAGAAGCAGTGGCGGCAAAATTTCCGGTCGTCCGAACACGTGGGGCTGTGCCGGTGGCCTGTGTATCTGAATCAAGCGTCGCGGAAGACCAAGTGGGAAGAAGGTTGCGACCTTGCTGAGTGCGACGCCGACGCGTCCAGCTTCAAGATAGCCTACGAAGCAGACGCGCAGATGATCTTTTCGAAAGTGCAGCACCACCATCATCCAGACGGAAAGCCGTTGACACACTTCATTAAGAAGGGGTGCAAACACGGGGATAAGTGCAAGCACGGCTTCCCGAAGACATCGTTCCTGACGCCCGTGGACGGACCCAGATCGCGCGTCGTCTGCCCTCGGGTGGCAAAGGAGTTCGGGCTGAAAGTAAACGGCGCTCGGAACGCCCTGGGGGAGATTGTAGGCCCTCGAAATGACGAGTCCCTCAGCGGGACATGCCCGGCACTTGCTGTTGCGTTCAGGGACAACTCGCACACCGCGCCCAACAACCGGCTGCCGCTGATCGACGACGTCACGCACGACCCAGAGTGTTCATGTCGCAGATACGCCAGTGCAGAGACTGGAGACGCATATCTGCGACGCATCGCCTTCGCTGCGCAGCGATCGATGTCGAACTCCACGCGCTACATCGGCGGGTACATCTCGAAGGTGCAGCGCGTCGGGAAGAAGGCCCGAGAGCTTGCGAAGACTTGCCTGTCGACGTTGGCTGAGCGACTCAAGGCGAAGTCCGAGATGCAGCAGACGCTGAACGCCGTGCACCGCTGCATCGGAGACTGGGAAGCCAAAGGTGTGGCGCGGACGATCTTCGAGGAAATGAACTTAGCTCACTTCGCAGACAGACCGAACCCGCTTGCAGCAGAATGCATTACGTCGTGCCCAGCTGCCGACTTCTACGCGGACTGCTTTCTGAAGATTGTGACCGACGAGACTGGGGCTGGTCGCGCTTCTGCGCGGCGCCAGCAAAAGTCGGTGCTCTTCACGGAGACGGGCGACGTCGCCACGCCGCCAGACGCGACCGCATGGGCGCACGCGCGGCGGCCCGGCGCGGCCGACATGAAGACCCTCAGCCCGTGCGAATTCGTCCGCTTCTACGAGGTGGCCCCGACGCGCCCGCCTCCCAGAGACACGTCGAAGCCGTCCCCGAGCTTGACTTACTGGGTCGGGAGTCCACCAGCCGCTGCGGACGGGCCTCCGCGGCCGTTTGTGCACTACAAGGTGAAGCCGCCGACGGGCGACTCGGGGCATTTTGCGTTGGAGGAAGACCCGTGCGACGAGGAGTTCGCGCACATGTACGTGATCGTGCCCCGGAGTGTTCCTGCGCTGCCGGTCTTCATCCGGTCAGTAATGCCGCAGCCCGACATGACGTCGGAGCGCCGCAGCGCCATTCTGTCGGCGTACTTCCGACCGTGGACTCTGGTGTGCAAGTACGGGTCTTCTCGGGGGCATGCCCCGCTGGCGAATAATCTGAACTTGCCGCCAAAGCGCCAGCGGTCTGGGAGGAGCGCGCCGAGCTTCCGAAAAGCCTTGAAGAACTACCTGCGCGGCCACATCGTCTCGAATTCGAACCGCATCCCGTGGGCCAACGTGCTTCGCACCATGACGACGATGCCGGAGAACGCCGACGAGGGCGAGGACGACCAGGACTCGAAGCCAGTGGAGGCGCTACCCGAGAACGCGTTTCCGGTCCTCAGCCCCAGCAGCATCATGGCAGAGTTACGGCGAGTGGACCGAGACGCCGGGGCAGATGCCGCTGGCGAGGACATTGGGAACCTCTCCCATTCGGTGCACAAAGCGCTGGAGTAGAGCATGTCCTTCTGGGACCCGCCGAACAGCGAGCCCACGTTGCACTTGCCACTGCGACAGTCTGCTCCTCGGCATTCCAGTGCAATGCCAGCGGGGGCTCGCGGAAAGGCCCAGGAGCCACCGCGGAAGACTGCGCGCTCGAAGATGCGGGAGAAGCTGTACCCTGGCGACGCTGACCTGACAAGCAACATCCAGAGATGGCGGAGAGGACCGGGGGGGGGTGGCAATCTGGAGACGTGCAGTTGCCAAAAGCATGTTCTGGATGCAGTTCGGTCGCGTGCGCCCGATTCGTCTCGCTCTGGAAGAAGATATCGAGGATGAGAGCCTCGGCGTTTGAGCTGGCGTGTATCGAACAGAGTTTGTACAGAGCGTCATGTCGTAAGTGGTGAGTAGATCGCAGTATGGGGAAGGTTGATTACAAGCGAGGCTTCGTGTATACACCTTGAAGGATGGCGCTGCGTTTGCTTGCATTGCCTCGGTCGCGCCATGCGTGCTCTGTGGAAGGTGCGTGTACGCGTTTACATGTGCACGCGCGCATAGTGTGTGCATGTAGAAACATTGATTTCCCGGATGTATACACGTCTGGGCATGTCAGGCAGGTGGCGCGGCACATGTGATGCGTAGCAGACAGGGTTGTGCAGCAGTCGTCGGCAAGGTGGGCAGCGTGCAGGGAGGCAAGGCCATGCGTATCCCTGCCCGATCGCAGGGCTGCAGACGCACCAGATCACCCCCGACCCGCAGCAGATGAGCATCCTGGACGCCGTCGCCGACAGGTGCGTCCAGGAGGCCCGCGAGCAGGACCAGCTGCGCGGATCGCCGTGCTCCCGGCTGTTCGTTTTCGGCCTGCCGGGTTCAGGGAAATCGGAGGTCATCCGGTGGCTGTGCGACGAGGGCGTGGGGCTGTTCCCCACGTGCATGGGATGGGAACACGAGGTGCACTTCATCAAGACCGCCCCAATGAATTCCATGGCGAGCAACATCGGTGGGCGAACCATCCACAACTTCAGCAAGCTCGGAATCGACCTCATCACGGGAGTCCAGTCCCGGCGGGAAGAAGGACCCGGAGTTGTCGGAGAACACGCTGCACACGAAAATCCAGCACATGCGCTGGCTCATCATCGACGAGGTGGAGAACGTGTCGGTGGAGTTGCTGGACGCCGTGCACAGGCAGGTGAAGGACTCGACGAGGGACAAGGGAAACCCCTGGGCCGTGGACGCGCGCGTCCCAAAACAGTTCGCCATGTTCGGAGGGCTCAACCTTGTGCTGCTCGGGGACTTATGGCAGATCCCGCCCGTCAGGAGCCTCAGTATAGCCGCCAATCCATTTGTCAAGAGACCCGCCAACGTCGGCCGCATATTGGAGATGTTCTGGACACAGGGCTTGCCGCACTCGGTGACTAACCGCTACGCCCTGACCCAGTCGCACCGCTGCTCAGACTTGTGGTGGAGAAGCTTTCTCGCGGAAGCGCGCGCTGGGGATCTGTCGGACAGGATGTGCGATTTCGTCCACGGCTTCTCGACTGATGTGCCCGGCTCCTGGATGCCCGCAAGCCCCGGCAGCGCCGAGGCCTCGACGGGGCACCTCGGCTGCGGGAAGGCGAAGTGCCGCGCGCTCTGGTCAGTTGAGTGGCCACGGATGTTCGGAGAAGGTCGGGCCTGGGAGGACATGAAATCCCTGGAGTGCGCTGATTGCAGCGCGGAACGCCGTCGGCGCTGCCGCGTCGCCTCTCAGAGCGGTGCCAGACAGCGGGAGGTGAGCACGGCGTTCGCGGACGCGCTGTTCGTGCACCCGTACAACGCCCCGAAGAGCAGGATTCTGACGCTGCGAGCGGCGAATGCGGCAGCCAATGCTGGGAAGCAGCTCCTCTGGGTGGTGGCGCGCGATGTCCCCCTCACTCGGGACGACGCATGCAGGTCGACGGAGTCGCTCGCCCACGCCAGGCAGAATTGGCTCATGTACCCCGAGAACAAGACTGGCGGAGTTCCGGGTGTGCTGCCGATCTTCGAGGGGATGCGGGCGCGGTTCACCGCCACGGAGAATGCAGAGGCGGGAGCCTGCAAGCACTCCTGGGGTACCGTGACGGGCTGGGTCCTCCACCCCGACGACTCGAAGTTGGTGAAAGACCACAGGTCCGAGCCGGAGCTGGTCCTGCAGCACGTGCCCGAGGCGATCATGGTGCAAATTCCCGGGAATACGGCGCCCCGCTTTGGGAATCAGCCCGCGGGTGTCTTCCCCGTGAAGCAGAAGGAGGTGTCCTGGGATCGTAGTCCTGGCTTCAAGGCCATGGTGAAGCGCGCGGGGTTCCCGCTGGTCCCGCACTTCGCCGCCGCGGCCCACTGCGTCACCGGCGCCACGCTGCCGCAGGCCATCATCGACCTCCTGGACGCGCGCACGACGCCCCGTTCGTCCATGGTCCCCACGGGCTACGTGGCCATCAGCCGCACCAGGAGGGCTGACGACCTGATTATCACGCAGCCCTTTTCGCCGATGCTTTTCCGGCAGGGGCACCAGACTGGCCCGTGGCTCCTGCACTCCATGACAGCCGGGGAGTTGACGACGGAGCAGGCGAAAGCCGGCTGGGCCAAGGCAGAGAAGGAAGCGGCTTCCAAGTCGTCCAAGAAGGTGGTGGACGCCACGTTCCAGCGCGGCGACTGCCACCAGCGGAAGAGAGCGGGGAATTTCCCAGGCAGTGGCATGAGAACGAGCGACCCCGTGGACCACGCCGTGGCGGTGCTGAGCCAGGGCGCCTGGAGGAGGTGCGCCCTCTGCGTGCAGAAGCAGGCCGGAAAGGCTGGAATCGGCGTGCAACCCGCCCGTTCCGCCCCCTTCTCCTCAAGAGGGGCGGACGTCCTCGAGTGCTGCAAGTGCGGGAAGCAAAAGGCATTGGTCCACTTCAGACTCGGAGAGGTGAACGACCTGAAGGCGCGTGGGGACCTCGACCGCGCCGTCTGCATCGGCTGCGCTCCAAATCGGCTGCACTTCAACGTGCAGTCGGAAGTCCGCCTGTTCAAGTGCGCGCAGTGCGCGGTCCAGAAGCCGACGGAGGAGTTCGACGAGACATTCTTCAAGCAGCACCGCGGGGCGAAGGACCTGATCTGCACTGACTGCATGGACAGGAAGATGAGACCCCTGTGCCGGGGAAAAGAAGGGCTTTGCGGGGCCAGGCCGCCACAGCGGTTGAAAAATGTGCACGACTATTATTGTGAGAGCTGTAAATACCCGCCGTGCTCGGCGCGCGGGGTGACGCCGCGGCCGAAGATGGAGAAGTACACTGCGAAGAGGCTGCCGCAGTGGACATGCGCGGCGTGCCGCAAGAAGAGCGACGCTGCTCAGTGCGGGGCGTGTTCTGCCGCCATTCCCTGGAGAATCATTTGGAGCTCCAATCGAGACAGCGGGGAAATCCTGTGCCGGAAGTGCCAGGGGAAGGCATGAGTTGTTCTCGCGGTGGAGCAGCCTGACCCCGCGTGACCAGGCGCCCCACCGCGGTGCGCCCAGCCAGCCGCCTGCGTAGCCGCGCGGAGCCTTATCGCTAGAGCCCCGCTGCGTGCGAATCATTCCCGCTGCCCGAGCCCTGTCGCGTTGCGCAAAGTCGCCACCAGCAGCGGAGCGCTGAGCCTGCCCGACGGCACACAGGGCAAACATGTTTGTCCCATTCAGGCGCAGAGACTGCGAGGTCGCTGATGCCGCATGGATCTCCTGAAAAACAGATGTTGGCTTGAATGGCATGCCGTCTCCTGTAGTCCTCTGCGGTGGCGTTTCCTGTCGTCTTCTGCGGTGGTCTGCCGCGTGGGGGGCGTCTTGGGCCGTTTTGGGGCGCTATTTCGGAATCTTTTGGGGGGGTCATGGAGGCTTCTTCGGGGCTTCCCGGGTCTTTCGGGGGGCCTCTTGGGGGCGTCTTGGGCCGTCTGCGGACGCTTGGAGCCGTTTGGCCCCTTCGGGGGACTTCTTGGGGGCCGCTCGCGGCCGCCTTGGGGCCCTCTTGGGGTCGTCTTGGGCCATCTTGGGGTGCTCTTGGGCCGTCTTGGAGGCCTCTTGGATCGTCTTGGGGGCCTCTTTGGGCCGTCTTGGGGCCCCCTTGGGTGCTGCTTGGGCTCTTGGGGCCATTTGGGTGCTTTGGGCTGTCGAGAACGCGAAATTCTTTGAAAAAACTTAAGGAAAATCGATGTTTTTGGCCTCTGGCGGCGTTCTGGTGGGCGCTCTGAGGGCCCTCTTGGGCAATCTTGGGGGCTTTGTGGGCCCTATTGGGGCCATCTTGGGCCGTCTTGGGGCCGTCTTGTCCCGTCTTGACACCATCTTGAACCGTCTTCACGCCCTCTTGGACCCCCAAAAGGCTCAAGGTGCCCAAATCATAGGTTTTCCATAGGTTTTTCTAGATTTTGAGGCCCAGAAGGGGCCCTCCTCCTGAGGGTCGATGGAAGTGGCGCGACTCCAGGGGGGGGTAGGGGGGACACATAATAATGTAACATGATACAATATGTAGGAATTATGCAAGCATTGGACACATTGGATCCATTGCATTACAGCATCCGCGGACCTGCCTCCGGCAACACGTCACTTCCGGACGTGGATTTGGCGCAGACGCGCCAGATCCAGGGATCCTCCACCCATGTCATAACGTGTGCCCGACCCTGACGGGGGGGGGGGAGGAGGATCCTTCGTCCATGCTATAACGTGCGCCCGACTCTGACGAGGGGGGGGAGGAGCAGGAGGGCGCGGCGTCGCGCTTCCGGGGCCGCGCGAGGGCGCGCCAGGCTCCCGCGCGCCAGCAGGCCGCCGATCCCGCCGATGCAGTCCCCGGACGTGTACAGAGGAGACGGGCGCCCGCGGCGGTCTTTGAGGGATGAGAGAGGGATAAGAAAACGACCCTACCCTGGGTTGCAAGTGCGCGGTCTGTAAACCTCCTGGGAACCCCCAAAAGCCTGGAGCCGCCAGGACGCGGCACATCACGCAGGGTTTACCCTGTCAGCCCACAGGAGTTTCAGCGCACAGCGCCTCGTAAACCAGGGTAGGGGCGTTTTTTTCTGCCCTTGAGTAACGTGTGCCCGACTCTGACGAGGGGGGGAGGAGGAGGAGGAGGGCGCGGCATCGCGTTTTCGGGGCCGCGCGATGGCGCGCCAGGTTCCCGCGCGCCAGCAAGCCGCCGATCTCGCCGACGCAGTCCCCGGACGTGTGCAGAGGAGACGGGCGCCCGCGGCGGTCTCGCTCTCTCTCTTGCCCGCACGCCACCCTCTCGCCATCGCTCGGACGTCCATTCCCTGTGTTTTTTCGGTTCCGTGCGTGTTTTTGTTCGCCAATTGATCAAGGATGCTCCTCGATGGTCCTCGCCGAAGGAAAAATGCACACGTCCGAGCGATGCCAAGGGAACGTCCTCGTGCGCTGGGCGAGCACCTCGGCGCGAGGCGCGCCCGCCTTCGCCAAGCGCGCTCCCCTGCTCGCAGAAGGCCTACTCGCAGACGCCCGAAACAAAACACATGCCTTCCTATACGTCATGCGTGGTATATCCCCCACGGCGGCGGATCCAGGCAATTTGCGAGGAGGAGGAGGAGGAGGAGGAGGAGGCGGAGCAGGAGGAGGAGGAGGAGGAGAAGGGGGAGGAGGAGGAGGAGGAGGAGGAGGAGGAGGAGGAGGAGGAGGAGGAGGGAAAAGGAGGAGGAGAAGGAGGGGGAGCAGGAGGAGGAGAAGAGAAGGAGGATGAGGAGGAGGAGAGGAGGAGAACGGACGAGGAGGAGGAGGAGGAGAAGGAGGAGGAGGAGGACGAGGAGGAGAAGAAGGAGAAGGAGAACGAGGAGAAGGACGAGGAGGAGGAGAAGGAGGACGAGGAGGACGAGGAGGAGGAGGACGAGGAGGAGGAGGACGAGGAGGACCGAGGAGACGAGGAGGAGGAGGAGGAGGAGGAAGAGGAAGAGGAGGAGGAGGAGGAGGAAGGAGGGCGAGGAGAAGAAACGAGGGGGACGGACGAGGAGGAGGACGAGGAGGAGGAGGAGGAGGAGGAGGAGGGAGGAGGATGGAGGAGGGAGGAGGAGGTCATGGAGGAAGAGGGAGGAGGAAGAGGAGGAGGACGAGGAGTGAGGCGAGGAGGGAGGAGGGAGGAGGGGACGGAGGAGGGGATGGAGGAGGAAGGAGGAAAAGGATCATGGAGGAGGAGAAGGAGGATGAGGAGAAGAAAGGGCCATGGAGAAGGAGGACGAGGTGTTGGTCCCTGCCCTGCCGCTTCCCCAAAGAGCCGAGCATCGAATCGAGGAGTTGGATCGATCTGATCGGCAGAAGTCGGCAGCCGAGTCGGGGCTGATAGAGTCGGCGGAGATCGGCCAGCAGGCCTCCATTGAAAAATCGGAATCCAGATCGGAATCCGAAGCCGAATCGAACTGGAAGCGGAAGCCCTCGGAATCGAAGTCGAATCGAAGATCGGAGGAGTCGAAAAAATCGAGAAGATCGAAGTCGCATCGAACATCGAATCGAAGTCGAATCGATAATCGGAGGAGTCGAAAATTGAGCCCTGCTTCCCCCGCTGCCCGCGAAGGAGGCGTGAGGGGCAACGATCGGGGGGGATAGGCATAGGGGGGGGGTGCATCGACCTGGAATCGGCGATACATCGCCGATAGATCGGCGATGGGTTCCCGATCGTGAAGCCGCACCTTCCTGGGCGGGGTGGGGCTGTCGGGTCCCTACCGGCGATCAATGGGTGCCTGGGAATCGATACATCCCCCCGTATGCCTACAGTGGAGGCGCGACCACAAGAAACCTTCCACAAGAAACCCAACCCTGAGACCCCAGGACGTCCATTGGCTTTTGGCGTGGGAACGTCACGCTTCCCATCGCGAAACCAGCGAAACCCAGGAAACCCAGGGCACCCTGGAGGCAAGCATGGTGTTTCTTGGCATGGGCCTGCACTGCATCCCCCCCTATCGTTGCCCCGGAAGGGGGCGGAGGAGGAGGAGGAGGAGGAGGAGGAGAAGGAGCAGGAGGAGCAGGAGGAGGGAGGGACGGAGGGAGGGAGGGGCGGAGGGAGAGAGGGAGGGAGGGAGGGAGGAGGGAGGGAGGGATGGAGGAGGAGGAGGAGGAGGAGGAGGAGGAGGAAGGAGGAGGAGCAGGAGGAGCAGGAGGAGCGAGGGAGGGAGGGAGGGAGGGAGGGGGGGGGGGGGAGGGAGGGAGGGGAGGGATGGAGGAGGAGGGAGGGAGGGAGGAAGGGAGGAGGGAGGAGAGGAGGGAGGGAGGGAGGGAGGGAGGGAGGAGGGTAAGGGTAAGGGTACATGCGCCGAAGCGCGGCCGACAGGCCGACGGACGACTGGTTCTGCTGCGCACTGTCAAACGATCGATGGACCTTCCTCGTCCATCTGCCTTGGAGGGCACTGGCAAGGGGCTGGCGCCGGGGCCGCCTCAGCAGGCCTCTAGCCCACGAGCTCCGCCTCCTCGGAGACTGTGTCGGAGGCGTCGGCAGCCTGGGTGCGGGCCGCCTCGCGGCCGACACGGCGGACCCCCTCGAGGTCGTCCTCCGAGAGCCCGTAGCAGCGGAGCAGGAAGAGACGCGCCGCCCTCGGCTCGGGCCGCCTGCCCTGGGGCCCTGGCGCATCCGCCGGCGTGGCGGGAAGGCGCTCGTCGCCAGCAGCAGCGCGATGCCCGCCGCTCGCTGCCGCGGGCAGGTCCCCTTCCAGCAGGAGGTCGCCTGCGAGCTGCAGCTGCTCCTCGGGCCCTAGGGCAAAGGGCCCCTCGAGCGCTCCACCTTGTCTCCCCTTGCCGTAGTGGGGCCAGCGCAACAGGCGCACCAGCCGTAGCTGCTCTTTGCCTGCGCTGGACTCCCGCCCTCGGCACCAGTTCTTGAGCAGCTTGCCGGGCTTGCGGCCCGCCAAAACCCCGCCGCACCGCAGGCAGAACACGAAGCGCATCTGGGGGTTTTCCGCCACTCGGCAGCGCAGGAGAGCGCGCCCTCTAGCCCTCCACGCATGCCTGGCCAGGACCTGGTCGTCGAGGCCAAAGTGCAGCTCCACGTGCCCTGGGACGCGTCCCTCCTGGCTTTGGGGACTGGCAGCCGCGCCTCCGGCTGGGCCTGCAGGACCCGCGTCGCCGACCGGCCCGCTGCCCTCGCATGCATTCTCGGGGGGGCTGCTCCTTTGCAAGGGCCATCTCCTCGCTGAAGTCGACGCCGAAGCCGAAGGCGTCTGAGCCCTGGGAGGCTGCCCCATGCTTGGTATCAACTGGGGCCGCCGCCGCTTCCGGCGCGACCGGCACGCCCCACCCGGACGGGCCTGCCACCGCCCCTGGGGCTGGGGCAAAAGGAGTGCCTCCGGCAGCCGAGGGGGGAATGGCATCCCCCGGAGCTGCAGCAGCAGCCGCCGCTGCCTCCTCCTTCTCTTCGCCTCTCGCCGCCTCCTCGTCCCCTTGCCCGGGCCGCTCTTCCCGACCAGCCTCTGCCTGGCTCTCCCTGACGGGAGCTT